CTGTATGTTATGGGTACTTCGAATATAATTATATTTCAAATAATCCAATTGTTTTTGTACTTTTCATTTTAAATTAATACGCTCTTGACCACTGTATGCTCCGTGAGCATAAATTTTCACAAGAGAAAGGAAATGTAGAGTAAATTCAAAGATATGTATAAATATGTATGTAAGCAACAAGGCAGTTGTCTCGTGAGTATCGAATTATGACACTTTTAGTGGGTTTTAAAAAATCGTTGAACTTTTCCTACTACCAATACCAGTGATTTGATTTGTGTATGCTCTTGCCACTGCGACCAACAACACCACTACAGTGCTCCAATGATTGTTGTAGTTTCAGTTAGCACATTGCATCTTCGTTGTATATATAATATGTGTATGTATAATTTTATATTTTTAAAGTTTTAATTTTTCTTAGCTGACTGTTTGACTGCTGGAACACCCCAGACGGGTAACCGAACGCAAAGTTGCCGTCAACGATGATGATGTCTCCGACAAAGCATGCGACAAGTGGCAAGGACAAAAACACAACAAATGCAGCAGTACAATGGTGACGTCGACAACGACTATTGCGACCAAAAGTTTATCAATAAAATTCCGACATAAACTTTTTAATTTGATGTGTTATTATCTGGTGGATGTGTTGCTGCTAAAAGCAGCAGTATAGAGCAATGAAAATACATACATACGCATGTGTAAATGTAAATATATGTAGGTTGTTGTGTAAGTTTCGAGAAATATTTATGCTTCAGGGTATTAATATGTTGACACCGGGACTCCACAAGTTTACATACTTACGTACATACATACCTAGAAATATATTTGTGCAAATACCGAAGTTTAGCTTGCTTTATAACACTTAAAAGTTTATTTTAACCTCTTTTAAGAGGTGTCAGCATTTAACTCATGCAGTTAAAGGAAGTAGAAAAAAGACATTTTAGAACAAAGTTACTTGGTTATACATATTAACTATTGACAACGTACCGTGAATTTAGCAATGGATTAACGGAAACTATCCAATAATAATAATTTTTTGGGTTTGCTTTATTTCTGTACTCCTGACAATGTTCAAGTGCGTTGGAGCAAATAAGAAGAACTAGGAGGAAATTTTGACAGGTAATTCTCAACTAGATTAAAGTCGAGTTAGCAACATTGCGCCATTCAATTCTTCTTTACGCTGTTTTTTGCCAATTGGTGATACCAGGTGCAGCCAAGTCCTTTTCCACCTGGTCTTTCTAACGGAGTGGAGTGGAGTCTTTCCCTTCTTCTGCTTCCAGCGGCAGAGTATCTTATCGAGTTGGACAGATTGTTGGCGGAAGTGATTTTGCGTTGGATTTTCAGGTTGACATTGTGGTTTCAAGGTTATAACTTTCAACAATGACGTGGAAGACGAATCGCACTTTTTAACCTCAAAAGCAATTATCTGCCGAGCTCCTCCTTCAATTTGTAATATGCGTCTTGATGTTTTCCAACAAAAGTTTATTCTGAGTCATTTCCGAACGACCGGTGGATTTTTATGAGGAGCTTAATATTTTATATCAGATAAACACTTAGAGAGCTTAACATTCTCTGCCCAGGGGCGACCGTAATTAGAAAAAATAATTTTCTTTCTTCTTTTAATTTTGAATGTTGGTCTAACCAGGGCTAGAGTCCTGATCTTCAGAATGGCAATACGCTATGCTAACTAGTAGATCACCTCGTTGTGTCTTACAAGAGTCTTCTCCGGTCTTGAAACTTTATGCAAAATACTAAAAGTTTCGTTTGCAGCTGTACGCAGGAAGCTTGAAATTCCATCCCTCAATTCCCTTATTTCAAGTTACTGATCAGTGCTCTCAGAGAGCATCATTACTGCCAATAATAATGTCTGTCGATACTTTAGACTGAGTAGACATTTGAAGAGTTGAGGCCGTCCTCAACGAATAAAGACCAAAGTCGCAAAGTCGCTCATCATGCTTGTCCAAATTAATAGTATGGAAGCGTGAAAGTCGACAAGATCCGTTGACTCGACTTTTTGAGTCATCGAGATAAAGGTTTTGCGGTGCTGTGCGTATGAGGGACAGTGAATACCGCAGGCGAGGGAGAGGTGGATCATGGGCTATCATCACTAGTATTTCAAGGTGAAACATCGGAACCAAGGAAAACTAAATAAGGGGTTCTGCAGGGTGGTGTCTTCTCCCCACTTTTCCTTGATATCTACATTTCGGAACTCCCTTCTCCACCAAAAGGAAATTCTCTAACCTCATATGCCGATAATTGCACGATGTTGGCGTCTAGCCAGGAATATGATCTTTGTTCAAAAGTGAACTGCTTTTTTGCCGACCTACCCCACTTCTTCAGTGCAAGACATCTTAAGGTATAATCAACGAAATCCTCGATTACCCTCTTCACCAGCCGGGCAAAGGAATACAAGCTAGAATTAGATGTGAAGGCACAGATGTGCAAATTCCGACCATAAATAACCCCAAGATACTTTGAGTAACACTCGACAGCCTGCATTCCTTCACTCCACATACGACCGCAATTGCGAAAAACCCCAGAGCCGCAATAAAATAGAGCGCTAGTTGGCAGTAGCGTGAAGATAAAGAAACTTTGCTGGCAACTTACAAAACAATTGGCCGACCTATCGTAAACTATGCGGCGCCGGAACAAACGAGACGCATTTGAAGAAGCTACAGGCTTGCCAGAACACCACCTTCAGGACCGGGACAGGAAACCTCCTGTTGTCGCCGGAGCATCACTTGCATAGGAAAGCATCTTTGCTACGAGTTAATGTTTAGCTATGCAAGCTATTCCTATTGGCATGCTACCACCTAGACACATCAGAAAGGCAGTACTCGATATGAAAAACACCAGCAATACGTACAACAACCACTGAACTGGATGGCATACAGACAGGTACTGAAGCCATTCACCAGCAGTCAGTCAACACCTTCAAAGACTGCCGTCCCGTGAATGGCGCGCTCGGAGAAAATCCACCACCCATGACAGACAACGAGCTTGAGCTGCCTCGAGAGACACGCGTGACACTGGCACAACTTTGGTCTGGATACTGTAGTAGGTTAAACTCCTACCTATCCAAAGTCGACCCCAATATACCCAACGTATGCCCAGCATGTGGAGAGCTTCCGCATGACACTAACCACCTCTTCACATGTCTGCTTAAGTCGACACATCTAACCACCCTCTGCGACTTAGCAAAACAAAAATAACAACAACAACAACAGCAAACGATTTTCTTTATGAGATTCCTACCACGTTGGCATAACTCAGCGAATGAAGAGGCAGCGGCGTTGAAAATATTCGATGCGGTACCCGCTAAGAAAGACCTCCACTTGGAGAAATCAAGTCTAGAAGGATCTGGTTTAACTTTCTATATTCAATTGGCGCCGAACAGCTATAAACAGAAATTGCCGACGCGATTGATTCGGCTATAACTGCGTAAGCGGTGCCTACGCGAATGAAGATGAAGAAGTGTATTAAAATTTGTTTACTTTACTTTATTTGATTATATTTTATAATTTTATTTAATATATTATTTCGGCTTCGTCATCTTTATTTCTTAAGAATCAATTGTTAAGATAAACTTCCTACGTACATAGAAAAACTATATATAATATACACGTACGAGTATATATAAATATATTGTGCTAAACCTAATGCATATTTCCATAATTTATTAACGAAGTTATAAAATTAGTAATAAAAGTACAATTTAGTTTACAATAACGAGCTACAACTAATAGCATCATATTTTATCTCCCTTAACAAATTAAAAATTAATACAATAATTGTGTTTAAAACTTGCAAATCAATTCTATAATAAAAAGAAATCCTATCACAGCAAAACAATTGGCAATTGAAATACTACACTATGACGCAAATCGATTTTATCTCGAGCATAATTTTTCAATTAAATGATAAAAACTATTGATTTTACATACACAAAAAGATACTTATCGATTGGTAATTAAAATATTTAAAATAAATATATACAAGCTTCATACATACTTATCTACAGGTGAATTACGGCAACTTAATAAATATTTTATTTTACAAATCGTTGATGCAACATAAAGTTTCCATATCTGACTATTTATTAATTTTTTTTTTCCTTTTTCAAATTCTTAGATTTCTACTATAATTTCCAAGTTGTATTTTATATTACGAATCTACAGTGTTTTTTTATATTTACAATATAATAATTTATATTTTACAATATCAGGGGTACAACTTTGCTTCCGCCGTTTTCCGATAGGTGGCTGTATCGGCTGAGGCTGGTTGAAATACATAGATGATAATGCCTTTAAAGTGAGTTTGGACATTGCCTAACGAATTGTTATCGCCGTTTCAGTGACAGTTGTTCTTGTTTTCGTATTACTCACGCTCGAAAATGTCCGTTTATGTGCCTAGTTCTCGCCATTTGCGGAAAGTTTTACTTTTCTGTTACAATTGATTGCTCTCAGAAACTTACGGTGATGCTGCTCTGAGTGAAAGAACGTGTCGGAAGTGGTTTCAACGTTTTAAAAAAGGTGATTTCGATGTCGAAGTGGTGGAATGGAAAAAACCTTCAAAGATGAACAACCAGAAGCATTGCTTGATGAAGATTCGTGCTCTAAAAGAAAAGCGGCCACAATGTCAAGAGCGACATGACAAAGTCATCCTCCAACACGACAATGCTCGGCCTCACGTCGCAAAAGTGGTCAAAAAGTACCTGAAAACGCTGAAATGGGAAGTCTTGTCCCCAGATGTCGCCCCTTCTGACTTCCACCTATTCCGTTCGATGGCCCACGGCCTGGTAGATCAACATTTTCAATCCTTCGAAGAATTGGAAAAATGGATTGCTTCATGGATAGCGTCAAAAGAGAACTCCATTTTCCGAGTCGGGATCCGAAAATTGCCGGAAAGATGGGAGAAAGTTGTCGCTAGCGGAGGACAATACTGTGAATAATATATCTGTAAGCACTTTTTCGCAATAAAGCTTTTAATTTTGGAAAAAAAAACGGCGGAAGAAAAGTTGTACACCTAATAATTTATATTTTTATTTTATTCCCATCAGCCAGTTAATGTCGCTTTTAGTCCCTTAATTTTGTTCACCTTCTCCACACCTACGCTGTTTGCGAATTGCTTCTGGGCTTCCTCTTTGTACTCTTGTATATTGTAGTGTGATTGCTAAATTAGCATTAAATAAATAATTAAATAATTTGGTATTGAAAAATGCAAAATAAACAAATTGTTTCTGTTATTTACATTAAATGCATCCTGAAATTCGATTTCGGTCAAACGTTGCAAGCCGCGAAAGTTTCTTCCCAAAATGCGTCCTAATTCATAGCGTGACACCCGATAAGGCTCGGTTGTAGTAGATATTTCACCGCTGCCAGATTGATCCTCCTCGCTGGTTTTCTGGTTAATTAATACAAACAAATCGTTATTATATTACTTAAAAATTTACAATTTTACAAATTTTGCTTACCGCTGTACTCGTTGGTGGCCTTAAAGTCGATTTCATTGGAGCTGGATCACTGAATCCGTCATTCAGTAAGTTATAAACTTCACTGAGAGAATCTCTGGTATCAACGTATTGCTGAAATAGTAAAGGAGAAAAGACAATTCGGATAGCAGTAAAAGTAAATCTTTGAAAAAACAGGGAACGCATCAATAGAACCTAGATAAATCCAAAGTAGAACTCCAAGGCTAACAGTTTTGAGCTGTCCGAAAGTATATAAAGGTAACTGAATAGGAAAGTGCCGTTGCCCAGCTAGTTGATGCTTTCGTAAAAAAGATTGATTTCACTGTCGTTAAAGCATTACGTTGCACGAGACACGAACGAAGAAAACGGGTCCATGTAAAATATACTACAGCGGACATACATATAAAGAAACGCATATTTGGCGTTGGATTTGTGGCAAGACACAAACAAAATTGTGCCCCTGCTGTCGTATACCGATGATATTAATATCATAGGCCTCAGAAACCGCTCCTTTATTTTCTGTCTTCTCCAAACTAGACAAGAAAGCGAAGGGAAGCGAATGGGGCTTGAAGTGAACAAGGAAACGACGGAATATCTCCTCATCAAACAAACAGTCGGCGCATTTACGGCTTTTTTATGAGGAATCTTTATGACATGTCAGAAATACACTCGGAGGCGTTGAAATTCCTTGCCGAGGGGCGTCCGCAGTTAGAAAATTTAACTTCATTTTTTTCTACTTAAATTTACTTTCTATATTATATTATTTTCTTTTGGATGTTGGTCGCACCAAGATTTGAACCCAGGCTTTCCGAACGGTTATACGCAGCCAACCATGCCTTGAAATCCTACGCAAAATCACTCTTGCTACGGCGGCTACGCTGTTTAGGTTAAATGGTCTGATTCATTAAAAGTACTACTACTTTGAAGTATTAGAAGCAGTACCCACCGGTGGGAACAAAGGAATAGGAAGGTCTCGGTTGAAAGGAGCAGGTTAATGCCGAAATGGTTTCAATTGGTATTCCCACCTATTTGAATATTTCAGTTTTCATATGTTGGCCTGTTGCCGATGTTTGTTGGGGGATCATCTTTTTGAGAGTGAAACACCAGCAAACAAAGAACTCAAACTACCACCAAATCGATGATGAAGACATCCAAGGTCTGTTGCCTGCCTATGACGAAGTTCGAATAGCAATTATCTGCTAAAAGATTGACCCAGCGGCTAGAGCCGATAGCTTAACGGATTAGCTATGGCCTGACAAAAACATTATCGAGTGCTCTTCACTAAATATTGAAGGATAAGTCTTCTGAATGTTTCATACATTAAGACCACAAAGTTTTTGAAAATCGTTTTTTATTTATTTGCGGTTTAGTTCATCATAAATGCATTCCAACAGGAAAGACGGTTAATCAAGAGTATTAATCAAGTCGTGTGCGTGAAAACATCTGTCGTAAACTGCTGGAACGGCCAAGCTACTTTTTTGTTTCCAAAACTCAAGTTGCAACTCCGTAGAACCCGTTCCAACTCAATTAAGGCCGTAAAAGAATAATCGTAGAGGGAACTGAGATCAACTGATTTCAACAACTGCTGCAAACCAACATTTTTGGCATAGTAATTAAGAACAGTGCTAAAAACTTAACAAAAAAGTGCTGAAAAATATTAATTTTCACGAGCAGTTTAAATGGCAATTTCTGGAGACTTTCTGCTCTTAATGTAACACCTTATCTAGCTTTTTGGGAGATAGAATAAATGCCGCCATCATCGAACTGGGCAAACCTTATCAGAGTGACTGTAGATCTAGTAAGTCCACCACTGACCAAGTATTTATACCATGCGCCAAATCATGGAAAATACCCTGGAAGATGCCTACGACAACCAAAAAATGAGCTGAGACTTAAACGGCTGTTTAAACCAACGCTGACAAAGTTTCAAAAAGGGTGACTGCCCATATCACGATTGAACGTCATACCTTTGAATTTCTTCCATTTAGGAAACATCATCGGTACCAGCAGCAGATGCTCTACTTGCCGTAAGCAGTCAAATAAAAAGTAAAGTCGGTTATTTGTGCTTTGACAAAGGAGAATATCGTAGACTGCGGAGCGAGTAGCTGCACTGTCTAGGTCATGTCGTTTAAATGGATGAAAGCACTTCGTTGATTGAGGCTTAATTTGAACTATTGATGAACTTATGATGAGCTAAGTTGACTCTATCGTGTGATTTGTATGGTTTCCAAGCAGTGCCAGCCGGTGAGAATAAAGGAAAGATAAAAAATAATGTTGTTTTTTAATTTTTATCACTCACATCAACAATCAAATTCTTTGTTGTCACCATTTTCTGAAAAAAGTCCCAAAAAATGCCTCGTTTTGGACGTGATTTTGGAATATCTTCTGGTGCCAGGCGCCTTAAATTTGCTGGTGCTATTTCACGCGAATCTTGATGTATCTCCAGGCCCTCTGTGTATTCGGCATATCCTGTGTTTGCCGTCATGAAGGAGAAGAGTAGGCAAACTAAGAACAAGTGAAGTGACTGCATTTTTTCAGAACGATTTTCGCTAATACTGCAAAGAGAGAATTAATAATTGTAAATTAATAAAATTAATAAATTAATAAATTAATTAATAATAAAGTATTTAAAAGTTGTAAGCAATAACAATAATCATATTTATGCAACCCGCAAAATAACACTGTAAACAACACTGTTATACATATTACCATAGAAATCGACAGCAAACAACAACACGTAAAGTTAGAACACCAGTTAAAAGGTGTTAGATGTTTTTGTTGTTGTTCTATCAAAATTACACTGTGTTGTTTTTGTTGTTGTTGTTATTATTGGAAATTTTCTTGGTGTTCGCCGAAGTTACGCTCCTCATTTTACCGTTAATCCAAGCCATTTGCGAGCAGCGTTATGCGCCTTCATGAGCAGCTCATTATTTTGACATTTGACGCGCATACATAAGTGGCATGCAAGTTATGACAGCGTGGAGAACACGCTATGCATAGCAGAATGATCAGCGGATTTATATTCACGTAATTGACTTTCAACGAACGATTTTCCCGTTGGCATTATGCCCCCGGAACATGTTGTTCAGTAACAACAATAATCGTACTGTAGTAACATGCAACACGCAATGACCAGTAACCAATAACCAGAGCGAGCGAAGAGAACAAATTACAAAAATGTGAAATGCTACCTCTCCCTTACGTAACACACACACACACACACACACACGCACACATCGAACCGTACACAACACAAACGTTTGATATTGCCACTCGACAACAACAATTGCAAGTTAAGTATCGGTACATGGGCACTTGTGGCCATTCTATAGACGCAGCAAATCGTCGGTCAATCGGCGTAAATCGTTTGTGCAATGCTGTTGTCTGGAATTACAATTCAATGTTTGCGTGGGCGCCCCGAAACCTTATACATACACATATGTATATATATATGTAAATATATATATATATATATATATAGTATGTATGTAGTATGTGTATATATGCTGACTGCCTGGATTGGTGTAATTTCAGCATTGGCTAGCTTTGCAAAATTATTGAACATCATCATTAATTGAATGCATAATTAATCAATGCGCACACAAATAAACAAACAAACAAGCAAACAAACAATCACGTGCTCCTATTTAACCAATTACAAAACTAATTGAAATACGCATCTCTTACTTATTGTACTAATTGAATTAAAATCGAATTAAAAATCGCAAATGAATATGAGAAGTTGGTGTGAAATTTTTGTTTTACTAAACGTATGTAATTATGAGTAATTAAGAATCGCACGTGCGTATACACATACATATACAAATACATGCATACGTAATCACATGAGAGAAATCGTAATTAATTTTTGAAATTAAAAACATTTGAATAACTAGCAAATGATTTCAAATGTTATATAATATTCATAAATTTTTTAATAAAATTAGTTAAATATACCTACCTATTGTCGATATTTTTTTACTTCTGATGCTGAATTTATCTTTATTAGAATAAAATTTTCTATTTATTACTGCTTACGCGAGGAGCGTAGATCTTTGCATAACTTTGGGCGCTGGTTAATTGTTCCTGTTATTTGGATTTATGCATGAATGCAAAATCATTCATACATATAAGCAATAATGCAATTCTCAAATAATCAGCGAAATGATATGGCTAAAGTGTTTATTGTTGGCAATGGAATTTACCTTCGTAAGGTCCAGATCAGATATCAAATTATCTGATGTGTTTTGCGTCTTCCCATCCCTGCTCAATTTAGTTGAGTAGTATGCGATTGGCGTCTGTGCAGCGTCAGTGCCTCCTATGGCATTTCATATAGCTTGGGTAATTTCCCAATTTACGTTAATTTCCTTTAACCTTAAGAAAAAATCTATATACCCATGCGAGGAGATTAACAAAAGTTAGATAAGTTGACCGGAAAAAAAAATTATTTTTGTGTTTATTCGTAATTTTTGTTTTTTTATCTTCTCTACATAATCGCCATTGATTTCAAAGCATTTCTTAAGCCCATAGATCCTTTTCTGAAAACAGTCTTCAAAATTCAGCTTCTTCAGCTTATCAAGTTCAACATTAACCGCTATAATTATTTCCTATTTGCTATAAAAAACCTTTCCTTTTAATATTTTTTTAAATTTTGGAATAAAACAAAAATCACAAGGATATACGTAGAATGTGGCGCTGAACGTATTTCTTCGATCCCAGAGATAGCAATAAAATTACTGGTTATTTCAGCATTGTGGAATGGCTCGTTGTCATGGAAAAGCAGCACCGCTTTTCTTCTTGTGTTCTAACCAATTGAGTAGTCAGTCTTCGGTGCACCATTTTGCAGTTACCGTCTAACCCTTTTTTCAGTGGTGTAGCAGCTACGAATTTAGGTCGGGTGAAGTAAACTGTTTTTTTGCTGTTGATTTAGTTAAGCTAAGTCTTACGGGTGGGCTTGATCATGTTGGGCTCCATAGCATGGACTGCTGTTTGGTTTCTGGATCGTACTTATAGAACCAAGATTCGTCAACAGTAAGAACTTTATTGAAGTTGCTAGACTGACAGTTTTCGAGTTGGTTTAGAAAAAATTTACCATAAAGCACTCGAGGATCTTTTTGGGCCTTATTTAAAATTCGTGGTACCCATAGATCAGATTTTGTCGTATATTTCAAATGATTTTTTAATATGACCGATACAGACATGTCATTCAAGCCCAATTCGTTAGCAATAATTTTTTGTGTCAACCGTTGTCCTGCGTCAATTGTGGTATTCACCAGAGCTACAGTGACGTCATTAGTGGAAGATTTTATTCGACCTTCTCGGGGTTCGTCCTCTACGCAGTGATGTCAGATCTGGAATCTTCGGTGCAATCGTTTCGTATGCAATTTGGCATTCACTGAATATTTGTATTGGCTGTAAATTACGCCGAATCCCGAAGAGAATCACATGGTCATTTTCTGTTTGCATCGATGATTGAATTTCGTCAGACCTGCCCTAAGTAATCTTGCGTTTTCTCGTTTTCTCGTTTGACAGAAGATATTTTGTCCATCCCTTTCGCTACTTTATCAAGTCTGGAGAAACCAGACTCGTGGCGCGGTTGTTGAGGCCGATAATGTCAATATCATCGGCGTACGCCAACAGCTGTACTCTCTTATAGAAGATTGTACCTTTTCTATTCAGCTCTGCAGCTCGTATAATTTTCTCCAGCAATAAACTAAATAAGTCAAACGTTAAGAAATGACCTTGTACGACACCTCGTTTGGTTTCGAAAGACACGGAGAGATCGTTCCCTAGCTTAATGGAAGTTTCGGTACATTGTTATGCTGTATAAAACATTCGGAGAGAAGAGAGAAAATTTCCCAGCTAAGGTTGAATTGGATATTGAGCCAAGTCTATCGTCTAAGGTGTCGACTATTTTTTCTTATGTGCGCTAGTTATATTGGTCAAGTAAGGAGTTCGTTCGGTTTTTTTTATTGATTATTCAAAATATGTTAACTTTGTGTACATTTGTCCGATTTAAGTCAAATATGGGCCGTTTTGTACGTAAACATTTGTTGCCAACGAGGTCCAAACTTCATTATTGGTTTAAATGATTCCAAACTGTTTTCTGGCTTATCTTTACCTCCTCAGCAATTAAATAATGCTCACATGACGATCTGTTACCCCTATTTCCATGATTTTAACGCAATTTCCGACGACAGACCTCCCGACTCGTGATGCAACTTTGACGTCGGAATTACCGGAACGGAGCCTAGCAAATCATTTTTGTGATACACGTTCGTTTACGGTATCGGGCCAAGAAAATGAAATTAATTAATTTCAGCCGCATTGGCTGCTTTTTCGCTTTGATCGAAGAAAAATTGTAAACTATAGCGAATTTTCTCTTTGCTGGTGTCCATCTTTGACAAGCGCCGTATAGTATGACATAATGCGACCCGTAACACTAGTACTATGGACAATAACGCCAACTCTTAGATAAAAACCGAACGAACTTTTTACTTGACCTAATATTTTATAGATAGAATTTATTTTTAAAATGAATAGGGTAACCCGAGTAGAAGGTTCAAGAAGGATATGAGGACAAAAGCTGTACCAACGATTTGCATCCATATAAAAATAGTGAATAATTAATATTTTTCTCCACTGATGAACTGAAATCTCTCTTTCTTAAAGTTATAGTAATTACAATCCTACATACTTTTACATAAAACAGAAAATTTAATTTCAATTAGCTGATATGAGGTTAACCATAAAAAGCATACGCATTCAATGTATGCATGACAAAAAGAAGAAATTAGATAAACCAAGCTAAAAATGCATTCTCGTCGCCAGCATAAAACCACCATTTTGTCACCATAATAAATTCAATGTGCCGCCACACAGCACCAGCTGTTACTAGCTAGCCACCGTTATATGCCAACTAACTACAAGAACTCTCAAATATCCCATTTTAACTTTATAACCAGAATATTTTATGCCTTTTCATAAAGTATTTTAGCATTTTCTTTTTCTCAATTCTTTCTATCTAACATCGTGTTGCCAGCTTCACTGGCTGACTGTCGTATTTGCATGCAAACATTTCTTTCAACTTGTAAACCCACCCATACCGCTATTCTGATTAACAGCATGTGTTTGTGCAGTATTTGTCTACAGGCATTTTTTAAATTAATTTTCACAAATCGCCTGTAACTTCGCTTTATGAAAAGCATAGCAAAAGCTTTTGTGATTTTGACAACTTGTATAGGCTGCAGCTTCAACGAAGTTGTTCATTTTTTTATTGTATATATGTACATGGTATGCATGTATGTGGGTATGTATTACAACATATATGGGAACTATGAAATAGTTTATTTTATGACCATCGGCAATTCATATTATTTAAAATTTCACTTAAATTCGGTGTTAATTTAAATTGGTTTCTGCTTTTTGTGCATTAAGCAGTAATAAAGGAGGAGTGTGGAGCGAAGTTTTTCACACGTAAAAATTTTCAAATTAAATAAATACCCTTTTTATGTAGTTAAAATAATGAAATCAAGATTTAAGCTTTTATAACTAT